GTTTTCCTTTTCCTGCCCGGCCGCGCGCGCTGTGCCAGTCTCCACCGTTCGATGACGTCTTCTGGTGCTGCTGCAAGCTCCTACTCGGTCCCGAGCCCCTTCACCTTGGGCGGAATGCAAGCATTCCTCGACGGGAGGACGCTGTCGAGGATTTCGCCCCGCTCGATTTTCGCGAACTACCAGACGCTTACTGTGGCACCCTGCGACGATCTCGACCCGGAGGAGGTTCACGAGACGTGGTACCTGGACTCGGTGAAAGAGGAGCTGAAGGAGGCGCAGGAACGCGCCACTCGTTCCGAGGCCACAGTTAAGTCGCTCGAGGCGCAGCTCAAAAGCGCGCACCGCTCGCGCGAGGACCAGGTCGCCGTGCAGGCCACCGTCATCGAGTCGCTGCAGAAGACCATCAAGGCGTACAAGGAGGCGGCCGAGCAGCAGCGCGCCACGGCGTCGCCGGGCTGCCCCGTGCGCCTTGGCGAGGCCGCGTCTTGCCTGGGGCACTGCTGCGTCGGCTTCAGCGGGGTGGTGGGGGCCTTCGTCGCGTGCCGCAAGGCGCGCGACTGAGCGCCGCTGTCCGCCAGATACGTTCATGCTCGCGTCGCCGCACTCCTCCCTGCACTCTCTGCTACTCTGTCCCTCCGCGTTTTCTGTCGTGTTCCTGTTGGGTCTGTACAGTGCGCCGCGCGCGCTCTTGCGGGTGCGCCGCGCTCACTCGAAAATGTGCGCTCGTACCGAGCGCATCCCTATCATTGAAGTAGAAACCCGAAACCGAGTTACGAGTTACGGCGGCGCAGCTCGATTTGGGCGTTTTGCCGGCCGCGCGAGCGCGCGAGTGTCGCGAGTGTGCGCCCTCAGCGAGCCGTCACAGCTCGACGCTCGCGCTGTCGGCGAGAGAGCATGAAAAAGAATTAAGAAGTCGCCACCATCCCGCGAGGAGCGCTCCCGCTTGGCTTGCCATATAGAGGGAGCGGACCGTGAGTTGAGGAAATCGGAGGACGCGACCCACTTCGCCACAGACGGTCCCGCGCCTCGCCGCTAAGACGGGTATACGACCGCGGCTCGTGTGCGTGTACCCGTCTTTGTCCGGAGTGAAAAGTCCAACGCGCTCGTCGGTGACGGCGTCCTCCAACCTGCGCCGCGCTCGGCGAACCTCGACAGCGCTTTCGGTGGCATGCAGCTCTTTGCGCCTGAAGCCTGGAGAGCAGCTCCTCTGCTGTTCACACACTCTGCACAGTTGACACAGCCTACTGTGCGGCTGCCACAGCTGTCACAGCGATGGGCTCGCCCTCACTGGCCCTCAGTCACTTGTGCTGCGGCTTGTGTGAGCGACACTGCTCGGCGACTGCCGGCACACTGTGAGACCATGGGTGTGAGGTAAAACCACGCTACCAGCGCTTGGTCACATTAGCCCCGAGGTCAGATCCTTCTACTCTGTTGATGACAAGACTTGTCTACTGGCTAAAGCCGAGCAGGAGGGCCCAGCGCACAACCCCTGGTCAACTCAGGGTCCACACCCCGTACTTTCGGATTTGAAAAGAATTTTACAAGTCTCCCTCGCACAACACAGCGCTCACAGCTGCCCGAACTACACACACCGAGGTACTCCGCCCGTCGCGCCGCAGGGCCGGCCAGCAGCCGGGCGTGCCCTCCGCTGCTTGCCGCCCCGCTCCCGGCTGCTGACGCTCGTCGCCTCGCCTCCGCCCTCGCAGGCCGCTGCGAGGCCACCTGGCGCGGCGAGCGATGGTGGCGATGAACGTCTTCCGGCTGCTGGGGGACACGTCTCATTTGCTCTCCTTCATCGTGATGTTTTGGAAGCTCTTCACCTCCAAGAGCGTCGCTGGCATCTCGCTCAAGACACAGCTGCTATACGTCATCGTATTTTGCTTTCGATACCTCGACATCTTTTGGAACTTTCTCTCCATCTACAACACAATCATGAAGGTCATCTTCATCTCGTCGTCCGTGGCGGTGGTGTACGTGATGAAGTTCGGCGTGCCGCACAAGGACACCTACTCGCAGGAGGACGACGCCTTCCCCATCGCCTACCTGGTTGCTCCGGCCGCGCTGATGGGCGTCGCCTTCAACCAGGACCACGAGTCACCCTTCGAGATGTGCTGGGCCTTCTCCATCTACCTCGAGGCGGTGGCCATTCTGCCGCAGCTCTTCATGCTCCAGAAGCAGGGCGGCGCGGAGTCGCTGACGGGCGCGCGCCCACGCAGCGCCACGCAGCGCCACGCAGCGCCACGCAGCGCCACGCAGCGCACGCCCCGCAGCCGCGCCCGTGCCCCGCTGCTGTTGCGGCCAGCTAGCGCCGCCCCGAGGGCCACCCTCCGAGGCGAGCGCGCGGCCAGCGCGGCGCGACCGCCCTCGCCTTTGGTGGCAGGCCACTACATATTGCTGCTGGGGCTGTACCGCCTCTTTTACATCCTCAACTGGATCTACCGGTGCCCTCTCACCCTCCCGACCTCCCCGCCCCTTCCCGCCGCCACCCCTGCCAGCAGTAGAGCTGACCTCGCGTGGCCTCGCGCCGCTTCGGGCTCCGCCGCCCCGGCCTCGCCCCACCCCGCCCCCTGTGTGTGGTGGTGCCACCGCAGCTACGCGACCGAGCCGCACTACATGCAGCTCATCGTCTGGATCTCGGGCACTGTCCAGACGGCGAGTCGCACCCGCCCCTCTCCTCCGACGCCCGCACGCTCGATCCCCTCTCTCCCCTCTCCTACCCGCCCCTCTCCTCGCCGCCTCTCTCCTACCCGCCCCTCTCCTCGCCGCCTCTCTCCTACCCACCCCTCTCCTCGCCGCCTCTCTCCTACCCGCCTCTCTCCTCGCCGCCTCTCTCCTACCCACCCCTCTCCTCGCCGCCCCTCTCCTCGCCGCCCCGCGCGGCGCCCGATCCGCGCGGTCCCGTGCCACACACGGCCGCCCGACGTGCGCAGGCGCTCTACCTCGACTTCTTTTACACGTACATGAAGTCGAAGCGAGAGCGCGGCATCGACGCGCCCATCGAGATCGACTCGGTCTGAGTTGCGGCAGGTAGAGGCCGCGGGAGGGGAGGGAGAGGGAGAGAAGGGAGAGAGGGAGCGGGCGGGAGGGGGGGTCAGATCGGGGAGGAAGAACGAGCCGGCGGAGAGGCAGGGCACGTGCAGGCGGCGGGCGCGCCGTCTCGTACTCTCGTGCGGGTGTCAACGGACAAGGGACATCACACACCGGCGCGCGGAGTGGAGAGAGATGCCGAAGTTACCGAGAGATATTGAGTTCAATAAAAAATATCCCGGTGTCTCCCGTTCTCCCGGTATCTCCCGGATCCCGCGGTATCTCCCGCCCAGTGTCCTGCGGTATACATCGGATACCGCGACGGGGCAACAAGTGTAAGTATCAAGCGTTTGAGTATTCAATTTGTATTCCGAAGGCGAAGCGCCGCGCGAAAAAGCGTGGTCCGTGGAGCGAAGCCGAACAGAAAAAAGCGTGGAGCGAGGATGAGGCAGAAGACCGTGCGAACATATAAATGGGGCAAAAATAAAAAAAAGATACCGAGAGATATATACCGTGTCCACCACAGCACTCACACCAGCGAGGGATTGCTCACCTCAGTGGAGGGTGCCTCGCGCTACCGAGGGGGAGCAGGGGAGAGAAGCAAGCGAGCCCCTCCCGTCTCGGCTCAGCCGGTCGCGGTCGCGGTCATGCGTCCAGGGAGAGCGTGGATAGCGTCCGCGGGATCCGCCGCGCGATGGGGAAGCAGGCTGCCCACCACGGCCGCCGCACGGGCTTCACCGGCTCCGGAGCGAGAGGGAGAGGGTAGCCGAGCGACGAGGAGAAGCCGTGGAAGGCCTTCTCTTCCTCGGTCTCCACCTCGGCCTCCACGCGCACCTCTCCCTCGTGCAGCAGGTAGCCGGCGAGCTTCGACTGCTGCCACAACCGCCGGCGTTCGTCGATGGGCACGCGGCTCCAGCCAGCCGCGTCAGCCTGCTGCGCAGAGAGGCGCGCGCACGAGCCGCCAAAGGCCGTCGGCAGGCTCTCTGGGCCGGCGAGCTCAGCGATGGCGGCTGCGGATGTGGCCGGCTCCTCCACCCTGATGCGTCCGCGGATGTCCTCGGAGATCCACCTCTTGACGAGGCCGTAGCCGCGGGCAAAGGCGGCCGGCGCGTTGACGCAGAGGATCGTACCGACAAGGTTCGGGTAGTGAGCGTCGAGTGCGAGGCACTGCGACAAATAGCGTCCGATGAAGCGGAGGGAGATCATGTCGTGCCGCAGCGAGCCGTAGCAGAGGACAAACGAGACGCGGGCGAGCGAGCCCGAGGCGGCAGAGCTTTGATCGGCGGCGGCGGCGTTGCACTCGAGCAGGCTGAGCATGCCCCGCAGGTACTCGTCCGGGCTCAGGGCGCGCATCAAGCTCTGCGGGTCCAGGTCGTCATGGGCCACAATGTTGAGAGGGCCACCGTCGCGAGCGCTGCCGTGTGCCGGCAGAGCTGGCATCTCCCGCAGGAGGGTGGGGAGGACGGGCGAGATGTCCATCATCGGCGCGCCGCTAAGCGCGGCCGTCCGCACCGCGAAGCACCCCTTCTCCGCGCGCCAGCGAGTGGATGCGGCCAGCTTGGTGGCGGCAGCCTCTGGGCGGTCGAAGGCTAGGAGCCACCGGAGAAGGAAGATGTCGGTGAAGGCGTCCTCGACACCGCCCGCGCCAAGAAATGCAGCGCGCAGGGTCGCGAGCGCGGCCTCGTTGGCCTGGAGGTCCTCTGCCAGCGAGCTTCCCGCCGGGAGTTGGGCAGCTTCGGACACGGCTGGATTGTCGCCGTGCACGGGGTTGATATTGGTGGCGGGAGCGCAATCATCGCTCTCGCCCTGATCGTTGGTGAGCTGGTGCAGAAGCGTGTAGTCGTCGAGCAGCAGCAGCAGCAGCAGCGTCAGCGGCGTCGCAAGCAACGCGAGCGCGAGTGTCGGGGAGGAGTTTCTGGTAAAATTCGTTCTCAAATTCTTTTAGTGCCAGTGCGCGCCAGTCCCGTGCCCAGTGGAGAGAGAGAGAGAGAGAGAGAGAGAGAGAGAGAGAGAGAGAGAGAGAGAGAGAGAGAGAGAGAGAGAGAGAGAGAGAGAGAGAGAGAGAGAGAGAGAGAGAGAGAGAGAGAGAGAGAGAGAGAGAGAGAGAGAGAGAGAGAGAGAGAGAGAGAAGAGAGATTTTCTTTTTTCCGCCGATAACGATTGGGGTGGGGGCCCCCACTCGTGGTAGGCCACTAGTTTATCGTAGGGTACTCACGGATACCTCTCCTGAGTCCCTCTCGTGTGCCCTCGCGCACATCGCATGCGGTCTTCACTCAGCCTCCGCTGCTGTGAACACCAAACTTGCACTTCAGCTGGTGCGCGCTTTCGCCGCCTACTTTCGCGAGCGCGCTTGGCCCTTGCTCCTCATGCGCGGCGCTCTCGCTGCGCTCTCTCCCTGCTCATGGGACCTGATGCCGCGCCACCTCTGTGGCCGCTCCATCCTCTCTGACGGCGCCAGCCCTCCGGCTGCGCCATCTCTCTTTGGAGTGAGCCTCGTCTCGCTCTTCGTCTACTCGAGCCTCGTCTCGTGTGCCGCCTCGTGGGCGGCGTGGCGCGGCGGGCGGCTGTCTCTGCCGCCGCCTCGTGTGAGCCTCGTCTCGCTCTTCGTCTACTCGAGCCTCGTCTCGTGTGCCGCCTCGTGGGCGGCGTGGCGTGGCGGGCGGCCGTCTCTGCCGCCGCCTCGAGTGAGCCTCGTCTCGCTCTTCGTCTACTCGAGCCTCGTCTCGTGTGCCGCCTCGTGGGCGGCGTGGCGTGGCGGGCGTCTGTCTCTGCCTCCGCCTCGAGTGAGCCTCGTCTCGCTCTTCGTCTACTCGAGCCTCGTCTCGTGTGCCGCCTCGTGGGCGGCGTGGCGTGGCGGGCGGCTGTCTCTGCCGCCGCCTCGAGTGAGCCTCGTCTCGCTCTTCGTCTACTCGAGCCTCGTCTCGTGTGCCGCCTCGTGGGCGGCGTGGCGGGCGGCTGTCTCTGCCGCCGCCTCGAGTGAGCCTCGTCTAGCTCTTCGTCTACTCGAGCCTCGTCTCGTGTGCCGCCTCGTGGGCGGCGTGGCGGGCGGCTGTCTCTGCCGCCGCCTCGAGTGAGCCTCGTCTCGCTCTTCGTCTACTCGAGCCTCGTCTCGTGTGCCGCCTCGTGGGCGGCGCGGCGTGGCGGGCGGCTGTCTCTGCCGCCGCCTCGAGTGAGCCTCGTCTCGCTCTTCGTCTACTCGAGCCTCGTCTCGTGTGCCGCCTCGTGGGGCGGTGTGGCGTGGCGGGCGTCTGTCTCTGCCGCCGCCTCGAGTGAGCCTCGTCTCGCTCGTCGTCTACTCGAGCCTCGTCTCGTGTGCCGCCTCGTGGGCGGCGTGGCGGGCGGCTGTCTCTGCCCGCCTCGAGTGAGCCTCGTCTCGCTCTTCGTCTACTCGAGCCTCGCCTCGTGTGCCGCCTCGTGGGCGGCGTGGCGTGGCGGGCGGCTGTCTCTGCCGCCGCCTCGAGTGAGCCCCTCGTCTCGCTCTTCGTCTCCTCGAGCCTCGTCTCGTGTGCCGCCTCTTGGGCGGCGTGGCGGGCGGCCGTCTCTGCTGCCGCCTCGTGTGAGCCTCGTCTCGCTCTTCGTCTACTCGAGCCTCGCCTCGTATGCCGCTTGTGGGGAGCGTGGCGTGGCGGGCGGCCGTCTCTGCCGCCGCCTCGTGTGAGCCTCGTCTCGCTCTTCGTCTACTCGAGCCTCGTCTCGTGTGCGCTTCGTGGGCGGCGTGGCGTTGCGGGCGGCTGTCTCTGCCGCCGCCTCGAGTGAGCCTCGTCTGGCTCTTCGTCTACTCGAGCCTCGCCTCGTATGCCGCTTGTGGGGAGCGTGGCGTGGCGGGCGGCTGTCTCTGCCGCCGCCTCGTGTGAGCCTCGTCTCGCTCTTCGTCTACTCGAGCCTCGTCTCGTGTGCCGCCTCGTGGGCGGCGTGGCGTGGCGGGCGGCTGTCTCTGCCGCCGCCTCGAGTGAGCCTCGTCTCGCTCTTCGTCTGCTCGAGCCTCGTCTCGTGTGCCGCCTCGTGGGCGGCGTGGCGTGGCGGGCGGCTGTCTCTGCCGCCGCCTCGAGTGAGCCTCGTCTCGCTCTTCGTCTACTCGAGCCTCGTCTCGTGTGCCGCCTCGTGGGCGGCGTGGCGGGCGGCTGTCTCTGCCCGCCTCGAGTGAGCCTCGTCTCGCTCTTCGTCTACTCGAGCCTCGTCTCGTGTGCCGCCTCGTGGGCGGCGTGGCGTGGCGGGCTGCTGTCTCTGCCGCCGCCTCGAGTGAGCCTCGTCTCGCTCTTCGTCTACTCGAGCCTCGTCTCGTGTGCCGCCTCGTGGGCGGCGTGGCGGGCGGCTGTCTCTGCCGCCGCCTCGAGTGAGCCTCGTCTAGCTCTTCGTCTACTCGAGCCTCGTCTCGTGTGCCGCCTCTTGGGCGGCGTGGCGGGCGGCTGTCTCTGCCGCCGCCTCGAGTGAGCCTCGTCTCGCTCTTCGTCTACTCGAGCCTCGTCTCGTGTGCCGCCTCGTGGGCGGCGCGGCGTGGCGGGCGGCTGTCTCTGCCGCCGCCTCGAGTGAGCCTCGTCTCGCTCTTCGTCTACTCGAGCCTCGTCTCGTGTGCCGCCTCGTGGGGCGGTGTGGCGTGGCGGGCGTCTGTCTCTGCCGCCGCCTCGAGTGAGCCTCGTCTCGCTCGTCGTCTACTCGAGCCTCGTCTCGTGTGCCGCCTCGTGGGCGGCGTGGCGGGCGGCTGTCTCTGCCCGCCTCGAGTGAGCCTCGTCTCGCTCTTCGTCTACTCGAGCCTCGCCTCGTGTGCCGCCTCGTGGGCGGCGTGGCGTGGCGGGCGGCTGTCTCTGCCGCCGCCTCGAGTGAGCCCCTCGTCTCGCTCTTCGTCTCCTCGAGCCTCGTCTCGTGTGCCGCCTCTTGGGCGGCGTGGCGTGGCGGGCGGCTGTCGCTGCTGCCGCCTCGAGTGAGCCTCGTCTCGCTCTTCGTCTACTCGAGCCTCGTCTCGTGTGCCGCCTCGTGGGCGGCGTGGCGTGGCGGGCGGCTGTCGCTGCTGCCGCCTCGAGTGAGCCTCGTCTCGCTCTTCGTCTACTCGAGCCTCGCCTCGTGTGCCGCCTCTTGGGCGGCGTGGCGTGGCGGGCGGCTGTCGCTGCCGCCGCCTCGTGTGAGCCTCGTCTCGCTCTTCGTCTACTCGAGCCTCGTCTCGTGTGCCGCTTCGTGGGCGGCGTGGCGTGGCGGGCGGCTGTCTCTGCCGCCGCCTCGAGTAAGCCTCGTCTCGCTCTTCGTCTACTCGAGCCTCGTCTCGTGTGCCGCCTCGTGGGCGGCGTGGCTGGCGGCTGTCTCTGCCGCCGCCTCGTGTGAGCCTTGTCTCGCTCTTCGTCTACTCGAGCCTCGTCTCGTGTGCCGCCTCGTGGGCGGCGTGGCGTGGCGGGCGGCTGTCTCTGCCGCCGCCTCGAGTGAGCCTCGCCTCGCTCTTCGTCTACTCGAGCCTCGTCTCGTGTGCCGCCTCGTGGGGCGGCGTGGCGGGCGGCTGTCTCTGCCGCCGCCTCGAGTGAGCCTCGTCTCGCTCTTCGTCTACTCGAGCCTCGTCTCGTGTGCCGCCTCGTGGGCGGCGTGGCGGGCTGCTGTCTCTGCCTCCGCCTCGAGTGAGCCTCGTCTCGCTCTTCGTCTACTCGAGCCTCGCCTCGTGTGCCGCCTCGTGGGCGGCGTGGCGTGGCGGGCGGCTGTCTGTGCCGCCGCCTCGAGTGAGCCTCGTCTCGCTCTTCGTCTACTCGAGCCTCGTCTCGTGTGCCGCCTCGTGGGCGGCGTGGCGGGCGGCTGTCTCTGCCGCCGCCTCGAGTGAGCCTCGTCTCGCTCTTCGTCTACTCGAGCCTCGTCTCGTGTGCCGCCTCTTGGGCGGCGTGGCGTGGCGGGCTGCTGTCTCTGCCTCCGCCTCGAGTGAGCCTCGTCTCGCTCTTCGTCTACTCGAGCCTCGTCTCGTGTGCCGCCTCGTGGGCGGCGTGGCGTGGCGGGCGGCTGTCTCTGCCGCCGCCTCGAGTGAGCCTCGTCTCGTTCTTCGTCTACTCGAGCCTCGTCTCGTGTGCCGCCTCGTGGGGCGGCGTGGCGTGGCGGGCGGCTGTCTCTGCCGTCGCCTCGAGTGAGCCTCGTCTCGCTCTTCGTCTACTCGAGCCTCGTCTCGTGCGCCGCCTCGTGGGGCGGTGTGGCGTGGCGGGCGGCTGTCTCTGCCGCCGCCTCGAGTGAGCCTCGTCTCGCTCTTCGTCTACTCGAGCCTCGTCTCGTGTGCCGCCTCTTGGGCGGCGTGGCGTGGTGGGCGGCTGTCTCTGCCGCCGCCTCGAGTGAGCCTCGTCTCGCTCTTCGTCTACTCGAGCCTCGCCTCGTGTGCCGCCTCGTGGGCGGCGTGGCGTGGCGGGCGGCTGTCTCTGCCGCCGCCTCGAGTGAGCCTCGTCTCGCTCTTTGTCTACTCGAGCCTCGTCTCGTGTGCCGCCTCGTGGGCGGCGTGGCGTGGCGGGCGGCTGTCTCTGCTGCCGCCT